GCTATCACACAGGCCACAGCAGCAGCCAAGACCAATCGTGCATTACGCACCAAGGCAGCTGTTCCCGGTCAGCATAACTACAATGAAGAAGATTTAGTTGACTACCATCGCCCCACAACCACGAAGGACGACTGGGGAGGCTGGAATGGCCCACTCCCAGTTGTCAAGAACGATCCCGAAAGGGGTCAAGTCATCATTCGAGTGGGAAACCGCGATGTTCAGGCACAGTACCGCGATGCACGACATTCGCTCTACATTGAAGCTTTAATAGCCAGAGGAATGGGCTCCGACAGCACTGCACTGCGGACAGTGTTGACATTCGTGGCCGGTTTACCTGCGGGGAGACCTGCTATGATATTTGGCTATATATCAACCAAGAAGGGGACGCTTCAGATGACGAGTGCATGCCGTCTATCTCCTAAGGTACATCTAGCTTTACAGTACCTTATCAGAAACTTCTTCCGCATTGAGAATGTTGTTTCGGCCAGGTTAGCTAAAAGTATACATGAGCTAACTCCGGTTGATTATGCTGGCAGTTGCAGATTGGCCCACTATGACAACGATGTGAATCCAGGATTTCACCGTTATGAAGCAGAAGGCACCGCGCTGAACATTCACGATATAACTGGATCAGCACATTCGAGAATCATTCAGTGCCTGAAGTCCACCAAACTTCAAACAGGTTTCGGCAAGGACATGACAAGGTTTGACGAATTGTCGGATGCGCCGACACCGGATGAAACTGCAAGAGAAGCCTCGGAAGCCGAACCACCACAGGATGGATGGCTTCTTACGATTTATGTGGGATCGGAGGCTGACCTCGAGTCACACGCAATGGAAGTTTGGTATGCAGAACTTCAAGATGAAGAGGAATTGCTGACCTTTTCGCAATACCCACACATATGGTTCCAAACCATAGTTTGCTGATCACTGTAGCTGAAGAACAGCAGGGACCCCTGCCTAAGTGGGGGCACCCACACGACCCCGACTTTGAGGAAACGCATCACGTCCCACTGTGCCCCATGGTCGAAGACTGCAGCTACGGACTGGACTCAGACGAAAACGGACCAGATGTCGAACTCTGCTTCCACGCAGACATGTCAGGGGTAGTCCTGTCCGAACAGCAGCATATGATACTAGATGCCGACGGTGTGACCACTATGCGAGTATACGCTACCGCCGCTGCTAATCGAGCTGCGGTCGTCAAGGAAGACGACCTCCTCGCGAAGGCTGACATCCAGGCGAATCCCGAGAAAGTATCGAAGGCCCTCTACACCGAACTCAAGACATGGTTTGGCAACAGGTGTTTCAAACTGCCAGACATATCCAAAGTGTCAAACATCATGACTTCGAGGTACGCGTGCAAATTGAAGTTTGTGAAGAACGAGAAGGGCGAGATGGAACGCACCATCAGATTGCGCCCGATGCTTCGAGGCCCCATGGGCCTTGATGCCTTCGACGTGGAAACCTTTTCGGGAACAGCGCGGCGGTCAAGCCAGAGACTACTCGCGAGCACGGCAGCGCGCAAGAAGCAATGAATCATTGCTTCCCTCGACATCAGCATGGCCTTCCCGAAGGGGTTGACCTTCCAGGGATTTGCGCGCGCAACTGGTGAAAAAGGAACGGGTAATGTGTTTTACTTTGCCGCCTGGATCGGCCACGGTGCTTCGGGCTCTCCCAGGCTTCGAACGCAACGACGAGTCAAAGCACTGTTTACAGTGCCTCAAACCAGGCACTGGCACCAGAGACGCATCCCGAGCCTTCTCACCAAAGCTCAGTCGGACCGCCAGAGGGTTTGGTCCCCGACCCACGTCCTACGACGAGGACTTCGAGACGAGCAGCAACCTACTTGCGGCCAAACATGTCGATGATATCAACATGGCTGGTACTGAGGACACCATTGACAAACATGTCAAGTGCGTAGAGGACACCTTTGGTAAGTGCAAAGTCAACATGCACACCTACACCACTTGTGCTGCGAGGTATACGAATAATGAGGACGGCAATGTTACCTTGGACCAAGATGAATACATCAAGCAGCTCCGTCCTATACAACATCCTGAACTTACCGGCGCTGACGCTGACGCTCAGGCATCCAAGATGGTTGCAGACATGTCCGTCAGCCTCAGAGGCGCGCTGGTGTACGCATTAATCACCCAGGTGTGGTTGATGGTGCATGTAGTATCTCTACAACGCGTCCAAGAACCGACCAATATACAAGTACGACGACTGAACGCGATCACCAGGAAAGTGCAGGCATGTCCCAAGAAGATCGTCTATCAGGCGATGACCCCTACGGGCGAGGTCGACCTGCACGGCGTCTCAGGTTACCGACGCCTAAGTGTGGAGACGCCGATGGCGACGTCAAGGGCTATGGTATTTGCGGGGCAAACCTGCTGCGGCGTGGAAACACGCCATCTGGTAAACCCGTCGTCCACTTGATCGACGCGCACTGTAAGTCTTACCGCCTGCAAGTCCGCTCGAGCTATTCAGCAGAGACACTGGCAGCTACCCGTGATTTGGAAGACTGTTATCCCACGATCGTGACTCTGCACGAGCTCCACGCAGGGCCGTTCACTCTCACTCAGTTGAAAGACATACTCGAGCTGGGTGGCCTGAGCATCAAGGTCACTTTGACCGTAGATGATGAGTCTGTTTTTAAGTCCATGTCAAGCAAAGACTTGAGGAAGCCGGCTGCGTGTACCCTTCTAGGACACATCAGTTGGATGCGACAGATGATGGAGCGCGGAATCGTGCACAGCATTCAGTGGTGCGACACCCGCGATATGACTGCGGACGGTCACACCAAGGGGAGCATCGACAGAGAGATGCTCCTACAGGTCATGGGAGGTATACAATCCTTCAAACATGACTTAAAGCGTCATACTCCCTATCGGGCTGGCCAGACATCGTGTTCTGCTGCTGCCTGAGGAGTATCTTTATGTACAGAATAGTACAGGCAAGGCAACTTGCGTACGGGTCCACCTTCCTTACGGCCCCGCCTTTTTTGCTGTCCTTTTGAAAATAGTAGCTGCTGTGCCTGCTGTATAGGGGCGGCGGACCCACGTCTCCCCCCGACTCTGAAGTGAGCTGGGGCACATAGGGAGCGGAAGCGAACGTGTGCCCGCGGCCGCGTGGCAAGCGGCCGGCCGCCCAGATCTGACTACACCTCAGCGCGAGGTGTATTATTTGCCGTCGATACCAAAATACTGCTTGAGATGGCTTGCCCCCTACTACTGGGACTATCGCTACTACGGTTCAACAGAGTGGGAGCTGGGCTTCGCCTCAGGCGAAGCTGTTGGTTGGGTTTCCCAACCCCATCCAAACTCGGTCGCGATGGCTGACGCGCCGATCACATATCGACCGCACAGTCCAGCTCGGGCGACCGCGTGATTAAGCCGAAACCATCGCGCGATCCGCGATCACGCGAACCCTCGATCGCTGCGATCTGTGATCGCCGATCGTGTGATCTGTAGGCATAAAGCCGGTGACGAACGCCAGCGGGCTGGTTTGGCCGCGCGCACAAGGGGGCAGATGGAGGGGGAAAAGGTTTCTTGGAAATACTTCTGCTTCTTAGAAAGCGCTGGGCCTTGTCTATAGGATAGGGCTGGCGCCTTCTAAGAAGTAGCCTCCCTCTAGGAAGCGTCCCCCCATCCCCCTAAGCCCCGCTGTGCTCGCCGCCAACAACGGGAGGCGGTCGTTCTCCGGCAGGTGTGCAAACAAACGCAACCGATGGCCATGGCCAAAATGTCGTTGGATCTTGTCGACGCCGATCTTGGTCATGATCCATGCCAGCCGCCGTCAATCGCGAGGATGATCCTCAACATTTGACGCTGACCAAGATGGATGGTGACCAAAATCGGCACCGGCGTTCCGCGTTCAAGCTTGGGCATGGTCCTCGTCTTTTCCCCTCCACCTTTCGTGTTCGACCGGGCGTTTTGCCTCCGCACGGTTCCCCCAAGATTCAAAGCTGGGTGCGGCCTCTCGCAGGCCATGGGGGCTTCACTTTTCTTATCCTCTCACGACTGTGCTGACGAGCTCCTCGGACCAATTTGAAATTTGGGGCGGCACGGGGGCCACGAGAGCTGTTCGTCCTCCCCGTCATCCGCCGAAGAAGGAAAAAGGAAAGCTGCATAATGCATAATCATGAACTTTGGACTTTCGGAGCTCCGCGTGGATTTTTTGGGTCGAGGCAGTGGCGGCGTTCCCTGGGTTTTTTCCGCCCTTGTCGCGCCTCTTAAAGGCTTCTCGTCGCCACGGCTGGATCCGCGTCGAAAAACGAATCAGGATGGACCCCAGGAGGGGTTTGGGGACGGATTTCGAGTGAATTTGTGCCACTGTGTTGTTATCGCCCTCCCCCTCTCAAGAGAAAGCTGCATAAATATTTCGGAGCTCCGCACGGGTTTCTTGGATCGACGCTGGGCACCCCTCCATGGCGCGCGGAGCGTGCCAGGGGCGGCGCCGGAGGCGACGCCACCGATTGTGATTACCGATTGCTTTGCACAGTTTCATTTTGGCGAACGAGCACGTGCGTACGCATGAATTGTCATAAATTTTCGGAGGTCTGTGCGGATTTCTTGGGTCGGCGCCTGGGCCCCCCCTGGCGCCGCGCCTGGCGCCGCCCCAGGCGCGCCAGGAAGGGGGGCCCCGCGCAGATCAAAGAAATCCGCGCTGATCCCGAAAATTATCATTTTGTCTACAGTGGGGGCGCGCATCAAGAAACCATCTACTTTTCGTCAGGGTATCCTGGGTTTCTTTGCCCCGCGCGCTGCGCTTTGACTTCCCGCGGCCGTTGAAGGAGCTGCTGCGTTCAGGGTGCTCCAGGTTTCCCCTCAGGTGCACCTCGCGCACGGGTTCTCAGGGTTGGGTTTCTTGCGAGGGTTTCTTGCGGCCGCGCCCGCACTGTATGTCGATGTTTATTATTCTACTAATCCTCCGAAGCATCGTTCTCCTTCTCGCTTACGCTTTTCCAGTCTTCATGCCATCGTGCATCCTGCAAGGAGGAGGTGTGCCTGCGAGCAGAAGTCGACAACTTCATCACGCGGTACAAGCTGCTCCACAACAAGGCGCTGCCCATGTCGGAGGACCTGTGGCAGCGCAAGGCGCGCCTGGAGGAGTTCTGGACGACGTTCCACGGGAAGAAGGAGACCCCCCTGCACAGAGGGGCGCCAGATCAGACCACGAGGAGTGCCACGCCCGCACTGGCCGACACGCGCAGCTCCTCCGCGTCCTCCGCGCCCGACTCGCCCGGGCGCGGAGAGCAGGCCGACGCTGCGGGCCGCACGTGGCCCCCCACGGGCGAAGGCTTCCGCGCGGCGGTGGGGGCCGGAGGGGACGGCGGCCGGGACCGCCCCTCGCAGAGCCAGCAGTCCCGCAGGCTTCCGGAGGGAAACATCTGCACGAGCACAATGAGCGCCGATCTCCATGAGGATCTTGGAACACGCGGGAAGGGGAGGCGAAGAGGAGCTTCTGGGAGGTACGAAGCAGGCGGGGCATCCAGGAAGTTGTGTCGATGCGTCTGAGGCCCCCTGTGTCCGTTTGAGGCTGCTGGGCAGCCCGCCCTCCCGGCAGCTGGGGCAGCTCCGCCAGGGCGGCCGTGCGACGCCGCAGCCGCGCGGCATGCAGGCCACCGAGGCGAGCTCCCTGCCGAGCCTGCACGGCGGGGCTGGCAAGCACGCCTCCTCCAAGGCCTCAGGCGGCAACAAGTCCTGGGAGGCGAGCAGGAGGAAAGGGAGGAGGAGGAGGAGGAGGAGGAGGAGGAGGAGGAGGAGGAGGAGGAGGAGGAGGAGGAGGAGGGAGGAGCAGGAGGAGGAGGAGGAGGAGGAGGAGGAGGAGGAGGAGGAGGAGGAGAGGAGGAGCAGGAGGAGGAGGAGGAGAGAGGAGAGGAGGAGAGGAGGAGGAGAGGAGAGAGGAGGAGGAGGAGGAGGAGAAGATGAAGAAGCAAGCCTCCTCCTCCTCCTCCTCCTCCTCCTCCTCCTCCTCCCTCCTCCCTCCTTCCTCCATCCTCCTCCGCCTCCTCCGCCTCCTCCTCCTCCGCGCTTGAAGAAATCTGCGAGGCGAGCGCCCGCCCCATCCAGGCAAAAAGCGACTCGACGAGGCTACCGGCGTTGAAGGGCCATCAGCGGCGCTACCTGCAGGAGTGCGACACCTTCCAGCGCATCCCCATTCGGCCACGCGCAGAGGGGGGTAGGGAAGGGGAGAAGGCGTCTTCGAAGGAGGCTGCTTCTCAAAAGGCGCAGGCCTTGTCTGTAGATGGAAGTCAAGCAGTGGCGAAGCGCCCTTGTTTGCCTATAGGCCCACCAAAGAATGTTATAAGAGCCTTGTGTGGTTTCAATGGAATAATCTTATAACATTTCTGGCTGGGACTGTCTTGGTTTAACACATCGGGTTTATGTTCTAAGAACACTGTTTTTCTCCATATTGCCTATAGGAGTCCTCCCTACTAATTGGTCTGTTGCCCTCCCCCCACCCCTAATTAATATGCCCCCCCTAATTCCTATGGCTATGCCTATTACTTATGCCTCCCCCTAATAACCCCCATGACTACGCCAATGTCTATGCCTGTTTGCTTGCTTGCTCGCTTGCTTGCTTGCTTGCTTGCGCGCTTGCTTGCACGCTTGCTTGCTTGCTTGCTGAGTTGCGGATTCCAAGCATGCTTGATTCCTCTGATTCCTTGATTTGAGTCGTCTGATATATTTGGAGTCAACGCTGGCAGATATTGTGTTCTTAAAACATTTGGGGGTTCGAAGGACATTTCGTGGTAGGCCTAGAGGAATGCCGGGACGGTCGGTCCCTGCTCAAGTAAGGACAGCGCTTTCTGAGAAGCAGCCTCCTTCCAAAGAAGTTTTGCCCTCCCTCCCCCTACCCCCTTGTGCGCGCGGCCAGCCCATCCCGCTGGCGTTCGTCCCCGGCTTGGTGTCTGCTGATCACGCGATCGGCGATCACAGATCGCAGTGATCGGGGGATCGCGTGATCGCGGATCGCGCGATCGGTTCGACTTGATCACGCGATCGTCCGAGCTGGAATGTGTCGTCGATCCGTGATCGGTGCGGCAGCCATCGTGATCAGGGCTGCGATCGGATCACGTGATCTGGCGGCGTGATCGGCCAAGTGATCAGCCAGACACTAAGGTCACCGGCCACTCGAAGAAGCTCGAGGCCAGTGGCAGGAACCTGGTGGACCAGGAGCTGATGGTCATGGCGGGGATGATGAAGGACGCGGCCATCATCGAGGTGACCGACCTGAGCTCCAACTCGCTGCTATCCGACGCCGGCCTCGTGCCGTTTCTGCAGCAGCTCTCGCGCGGCCGCGCGGTGCACACGCTGCAGCATCTGATGCTCTCGAACTGCATCAGGTGGGCCACCCAGAACTGGGGGAGCTGTGGTCCTCACCCTCCTGATGGAACCATCGACCCTCGAGAGATCGTCGATGCGATGGGTCCCCCAGGGACGTACGGCCGGGAACTCTGGGACAGCGTGTCCTTCCGCGCCACACGCTACGGTGTGGGCGTTCGTTAAGGAATGTCTACAGGAGGCTTCAGACTCTGGAGGATTCCTTAATTGATGAGGGTGGCGGTGATATCCGCGGCCGATCCGCGATTGGAGTTGCACCAGCTGCCAGACCCCGAGTTCCTTATCTTAGGGTTCCTTGTCCAGTGCCCCCCCCGTATCACTCTCCCGGGCCCTCCGGTTGTGGCCAGGGCGGGCGTGCGCACCGTGGAGAGCGTCATGCAGCTGGTGGGCAGGGCCAGCAGCCTGCGTGTGCTGGACCTCAGCCACGTGCCGCTGAACACACGGCTGCAGGCGCACGCGGCGACGGGGATGGGGATGGGGGTGGGGGTGGGGGTGCTCGAGTAGAGAAAGGGGGATGGGGGTGGGGATGGGGATGGGGGTGGGGATGGGGGAAGGGAGATGGGGATGGGGGTGGGGATGGGGCTGCATAAGCGTAAACTTTCGTACATCCGCGCGGATTTCTTGGGCCCCCCTGGCGCCGCCCCTGGCGCCGCCCCTGGCGCCGCCCCTGGCGCCGCCCCTGGCGCCGCCCCTGGCGCCGCCCCTGGCGCCGCCCCTGGCGCGCTCCGCGCGCCAGGGAGGGGAGGCCAGCGCCGATCCGAGAAACCTGTGCAGACCTCCGAAAGTCAATGTTCTTACCTTTTTTTTTGTTCCTCCATCGAGGAAGAGCAGGCGGCGCACGGCGACGCCGCGGCGACCCCCAAAAGCGGGCGCTCAGGATTGAACTCCGCCGTCCTCTCTGAAGCGGCGGACATCGAGCGATCTTGTGTGATCTGAAAGCCGCGATCGTTCAATGTTGAGCGATCCACGTGGTATCAGAAGCACATGCGCAAGCCGCAAGTCGTCACAACACGAACCTGCCGTAAACACAAGTTATCGGAGGTCCGCGCGGACTTCCTGGGTCGGCGCTGGACCCCCATCTCTGGCGCGCGGAGCGCGCCAGGCCTCTGGCGCCGCCAGGGGGGTCCATCGCCGATCCAAGACATGCGCGCGGACCTCCGACAGTGTCTCGAAGGTGCAGCTGTGCAAGGCAATCGGTGAGCACAAACTCCTAGAGACGATTAGCTTGGCAGAAACTGGCATGAACTCCTCGTACGTGTCAAAGCTATGCATTGGCGAGCTGCTCGGCAGCAGCAGCATAAGGAGCTTGGACCTGAGCTGGAATTGCTTCAGCTCGGACACCTTTCTCTGCCTGGGCGAGGCGCTTACGAAGAGTAGTCGCCTACGAACCTTGAAGCTCACCAACTGCTCTGCGACGGTGGAGGAGGGCACGGACACCCCCATGTCCCTCTTCCTCGAGACTCTCTCACGCGAGAAGGGCCTCACGAAGCTGGACGTTGCCATGAATCGCATCAACCATCAGACCTTCCTGATCATCGAGGACTCCCTGGACAGTCATCCGAAGATGCAAGAACTTATCGTCTCGAACAACGCCCTGGGTGTTCATGGCGTCCGCAGTGCACTGCGGCTCATGTCGCGAAGCACGAACGACATCACCAAGATGAACCTTGAAGGGTGCTTTACCGGCGTGATAGGCGCAGGCGGTGAGGGCAGCGAGGCAGTGTTCTCTGCATCGAGCCCTGGCGGTCGCCACGTGCTCTTTCTGGATCGAGCCTGCCACAGGTCCCTGCTCCGCATGCTGTACCGGATCGCCGACAAGTTCGGCCTGTCGGCAGACGAGGCTCGGAGACCAAGAAAGACATGAACATCAATTTTCGGAGGTCCGCGCGGATTTCTTGGATCGGCGCTGGCGCCGCCCCTGGCGCGCTCCGCGCGCCAGGGAGGAGGACCCAGCGCAGATCCAAGAAACCCGCGCGGACCTCCGAAAATGGATGTTCATGCCGTTGTTTGGTTTTGCCTCCTTGGAGGCGTTCAGCAACGTCGCATACACCCCCGTCAGCGCCGCCGGCAAAGCCACGGGCAAGGTGGGGCCCTTCAGCCACCCCGCACAGGAGGCCGACGGCGTGCGCACCGTCCCCGTGTCTGGCAGGCTCGAGCTGGTCCTCAACATGCAGAGGTGCATCGAGAAGGCCATATCCGGCCTGGAGGACGAGGACTGCGAGGGTTTCTTGACCCAGTACTTCCAGATAGTGCGCTACGAGCCCGGCTGGAAGAAGGCGATACCGATCTTAGCGAACTGGAAGATGATCCAGCAGAGCATGCTGCAGCAGCAGGTCTTCCTGGACTCCCTCGCCAAGGACTTCTGCCTCACGGTGCCCCGCCTGGCGCAGATGTGCGCCAGCAACCGCCTCTTCGCCAAGGACATCGTCTGGCGAATGATGCCGTGCGTGCCCTACGACGCGGCCTCGAGGTTCCTGGGGCACATGCTCGCACCCTCCCTCGGCGATTTTCTGTGGACGCACCAGCGCATGCAGGCTCTGTTGACTTTCAACGCTGGGAACCCGACGGGCCACTACACGTTGAGCTTGGACAATTGTTGCGACTACGCGGTAGCGGACCTCCTCTCCCTCCTCCTCTTCCTTCCCTCCTCTACACGTGTAGCAGATCGCGCGTGCCTGGCCGAACTTAGTACCTCCGATTAAGCACTTCCGAGGCTGACCACTTTCAAGTTGGATTATTTTATCATTTGCCAATCGCTCCCTCACTTGGCGAGCGCCCTCCTCCTCCTCCTCCTCGTGCCCCTCCCCCTCCCTCAGGAGCGCCTCCTCCTCCTGGACCGCTGGGAGTCGGCCATCGACAGCCGCGGCCAGTATTTCGACACGTCCAAGTGGGCCAACAGGTCGCACTTCCGCAACGAGCTCCACCGCAAGCAGCCCATCATCAAAGACGGTATCGCGTCCATGGCGGGGCGGAGGAGAAGAACGAGGAGGATGTAAATCGTAAATCAGAGGGCGACTTACCTACCGCGCTTTCGCTTCCAGGCCAAGCCGAGTCACACCACGCGCCTCCCCGTCACGCAGCCTGACCGCTGCAGGTCACTCTATGGGCAGCTTGGAATCGTTTGGCTCCCGTTTGGAAGCGATGGTTGTCAAAAGCGAGGTCGGTTCGTTCGCCTCTTATCGAAGAAGAAGAAGAATAACCAGGACTGCATAACCACAAACGTTCGGAGCTCAGCGCGGATTTCTTGGACCGGCGTTGGACCCCGCGCCAGGGGCGGCGCTAGAGGCGCCGCGGCGACAATTTCATACTTCGCAGCACCCCGGAGGTGGCGAGGTTCCGTTTGGGTCTGCGTGGCGCCCCATTGTGTTGCGCACTCCAGCAGCCCTCAAACGCGGCGACAGTTTCACACGTCGCAGACCCCCAGGGATGGCGAGGTCCTGTTTGGGTCTGCGTGGGGCCCCGCTGCGCTGGCTCCCCCAACAATTTTCGAATGTGGCGACAGTTTCACATTTAGCAGGTCTCCAGGGCGGCAGTTTCACACTGCGCAGCCCCCCAGGGATGGCGAAGTCCCGTTTGGGCTTACGTGGGGCCCCATTGTGTGTGCTCCCCCAGCAGCCATCGAATGTGGCGACAGTTTCACATTTCGCAGCCCCCCAGGGATGGCGAGGTCCCGTTTGGGTTTGCGTGGGGCCTCACTTTGTGGGTTCCCCCAGCAACCTTCGAAAGTGGCGACCGTTTCACATTTCGCAGCTCCCAAGAGGGATGCAAGAGGAGAGAGCCGAGAGGAGAGCGGGGAGGGGGCGAGGAGGAGGATGAAAAGGTGGAGACCTCACCGCTCTATCCAAAACGATCACCCAACTAAGGGAGGGTTGGGAAAAGTCCGGTGGACCAGGCTGTCTCGCCTGAAACATCCTCACAGCTCGTTTCTGAGCTGGCTGGTTTCGTTTGAGAAATCTTCGAACATTTGGACTCTGGGACGCCGCGCGCGAGGTGGTCCGGGCCGTTTCTCCTGGGACATCCTCGACACTCTATGCCCCGCGATGCCGTGCGAGAGGTGGTCCGGGCCGTTTCGCCTGATATATCTTCGAACATCTAGGCTCTGGGACGCCGCGCGTGAGGTGGTCGGGCCGTCTCGCGCGAGACATCTTCGAAACTCTATGACCCGAGATGCCGTGCGGGAGGTGGTCTGGGCCGTTTTGCTTGAGACATCCCCTCGAACATCTAGGCTCCGAGACGCCGCGCGCGAGGTGGTCCAGGCCGTTTCGTCTGAGCTATCCTCGAAACTCTATGAGGTGGTCGGGCTTGTTTCTCTTGAAAAATCCTCGCGATGTTGGTCTCCGCGATGCTGCGCGTGAGGTGGACCCGCGCGTTTCGCATGAGACATTCTCGTAACTCGGGGCTCGGAGATGCCGCGCGCGAGGTGGTCCAGCTTGTTTTGCTTGAAACATCCTCGTAACTCTGCGCTCCGAGCTGCCAGGCGCGAGGTGGTCTGGCGCGTTTCGCCTGAAACATCGGTGCAACTCTCCGAGCTGCCGTGCGAGAGGTGATCTGGCGCCTTTCGCTTGAGGCAGTCCTTGCGACCCCCTGCTCCGAGATGCTGTGCGGCAGGTGGTCCAGCTCGTTTCGCCTGAGACATCCTTGAAACTCTGAGCTCTCTGAGCATGTGCGCCAGGGTATGTGGCCCGTTTCGCTTGAGAGATATCCTTGCAAGTAGGGGCTCCGAGATGCTGTGGGCGAGGTGGTCAAGCCCGTTTCGCCTGAGACATCTTCGAAAGTCTGGGCTCCAAGAGGGAGAGAGGAGCGAGATGGGGTCAGACCCAAACGAGCTATTTGATTATTCTTATGGTGTCGAATTGTGCTCTGGGAGGGGTTTTGGCTCCACCTGAGACATCTTCGGAACTCTAAGCTCCCAGATGTTGCACGCGAGGTGGCCCAGCCCGTTTCGCCCGAGACATCCTCGCAATTCGGGGCTCCGAGTGGCTGCGCGCGAGGCGCGAGGTGGTTTGGCGCGTCTCGCCTGACACGTCCTCGCAACTCTGGGCTCCTTGAAGATGTGCGCGAGGTAGTTCAGCTCGTTTCGCCTGAGACATCCGCGCAACTGGGCTCCGAGATGCCGCGTCGGAGGTGGTCTCTGGCCCGTTTAGCTTGAGACATCCTCGCAACTCTGCGCTCCGAGAGGGAGGAGAGGAGCGAAAAGGGGTCAGACCCAAACGAGCTATTTGATTCTTCTTCTGGTGTCGAGCTGTGCTCTGGGAGGGGCCTGGGCGCCCCTGGCCCGACGGAGGAGGTGGCCGGCTGAGGGAGCGGGCCGCGCTCTCCGGGTGCGCGGCGCGGCCTGGCTCTGCGCCGCCGCGGAGCCACCGGGGGGGCGGCGCTCGGATGGCAGCGGGGCCGGGGCCGCTCGGAGGTGTACGGCTCTGCCGCAGAGAGTCTGGAGGAGGTCGAGGACGGCCGGCGCCTGGGCGCGGGTAGGGGGGGGAGCAGACCGAGGCATCTTCGTTTGCCAGCCGCAGCAAGCGAGGCAGTTTGGCCAGCCCTTGCCACCTCGGTCTGGCGCCCGCCCTGGCCCTCCTGGCCCAGGAAGGCTTCGTCGCCGGACGGGGGGAGAGGGCGGCCCTTGCGTCGCGCGCCCAGGCCTGGCAACGTGAGCAGCGCCGAAAGCGCGAGGGTCCCGGGCGTCGGGGGGTCGATGGTCGACGGGGGGGCGAGGAGGAGACGGGCGACTTGTGGCGGGAGGTCTGCACGTTGCTGCTAGATCGGAACGGGGGCGACGAGTGGCGAATGGCGCCCACGCTCAATCCTCTGCGGCCGCCAGCGGCCAGGCTCCGAAGGCTTCAGAGCACGCTAATCGATCGCCCCCCGCCATCGCTGGGTGTGTCCTGGCCGCTGATGGTCCTGGCCCGAGACAGCTCGGGGACCAGTGCGCAAGCGATCTTCGGCGGCCTGGCAAAGGACTTGCCCTCCCCCACAAATTGCCGCGCGGGGCTGTGCTTGCCTTCTCGGTCGACGGCAGGGACGGGCGTCCCGCATGATTGCCCTGGCGTCAGCTCCCGCGCCGCTCGCCTCATTCCCCAAACGTGGCGCGGTACTGCTTGGATTTCTTAGCCAGCCTGAAGCTCGCCAACTCGCTACCCTGGTGCGCCCTCGCCTGGCATGATGGCGGCTAACTCGATCCTGGGGTGTTTGGCCGCGGTTGCACGGTCCACCTTGGCCGATGCCAGGTCTCTCGCTGCGGAGGGCCCATCCTGGCCCTCCACAGCTTCGTCGTCGCCGCGCCAGTTCCACAGGTTGCCTCATCGATCAGGTGCTTCCTCGTCGCCACGTCCCCTGGGTGCGCATCGCCTCCTGCCCTGGGCGCTCTCGCTGGCTGTCCCACCAGCTTGAATGCGCTGCGGAGGTCCGTCCTGGCCGCCCGCAGCCCTTCGCCGCCATCGGGCGCCCCCCCCTCCCCCTCCCCTTTGCTGCGCACCGTGGCGTGCGCCCTCCCCACTCTTCTCTCCTCTGGCGCTTCGCCTCCGCTCCTCTTCCTTCCCCCCTCCCTTCTCCCTGGACCGCCATGGCGGCCTTCTGGGCGCTGCGTCGCCCGTCGCGGTGCACTTCGGCAGCGTCTTGGCCCCTGGACTGGTCCTGCGACAGGAGGATACAGGAGGCCCTAGCGAGGCCGAGCCCTCTGACAAGTCACATTCCTTCACGACGACCGCCGACGGTCTTGGCCTATCACCGGCAATCTGCCTGCCGCACAGGGGATGACGGCTTGCCTCCTTTTTGGCGCATGCGCTCGTGAATGCACGGCCAACTGCATGCGTGCCAGAGGCATGTTCAGCACGCCCTTCCGCGCATGCATTCCTTGATGCGTGGAGGATATAGCGCCCCCATGTTGGAGACCCTTTTTGGAGCATCCACTCGTTTCAGACACGTGCCACAAGCACGCGTGCTAGAAGCATGTTCGACATGCCCGTCCGCGCATGTGTTCTCTTCGTTCGAAGAATCCAGCGCCCGCATTTGGTATACCTTTTTGGGGTGCCTTCACACGTGAAGATACGTGCCACATGCACGCGTGCCAGACGCGTGTTCGACACGCCCCTCCGTGCACTTATTCTTTACCGCGTGAAGAATGCTGCACGCCTACACGCGTGAAGGCACAGGTCAATTTGACACATGCCCCCTCTTCCGTGCGCGAATCTTTCACAAGAAATTTCACATTTGGAGAATCTGGCAAGCTCGTGTTGGAATCCCCCCCCAGGTGGCGTTTACACACCGGCACGTGGCACATTTGCTTTGGGCCGCAGCCCTGGCCAAGGAAAAACCATCCCCTCCCCCAATGACTTTCCGCAGAGGGGTCCTGTAGGTAAGGAAGAAGGGTGGGTGTAGCGGGGGGAGAAGGCGGAGTGGACCATGCCCGAGTCGGGCGAGCTGGAGTTCGATTACGTGACCAATCGGCGGCCAAAAGTGTCCGATCAAGCTGCGAGCGACAAGGTGTGGGACAAAGTGCTGATCTCGCTGTTCGACGCCAAGGATGCGCTGGAAGGAGGGGCGCTGATGCAGGTAGTGTGCCTGAAAGACGCTGATGTGTCGATCAAGGCTCGATGAGACCGCCGATCGGCCCCATTTCCGCCTATCGAGCGGGATCCAGGTCGCGGATCGAGCCATCGATCAGCAGGGCGCCTCTCCACGCCGATGGGTGGATCGGGCCCGCTGGGTATGGAGTGTGGATGAAGGTCAGTCCGTGGATCAACGGCATGAAGTCAACGGATTCTGAGGGAAACGTAGGATCAGTTCTTCATCTGGAGTCGTTGTTTTGCAGTCCTGGGGCCCGTGGAGGGCCCCGAGAGGCCGAAAACGGCGAAAAACCTCCAGTACCCGTTGACCTCAGGACCCGCTTGCGTCATGGCGAGGATCAGCATTGATCGGGGGAGGGCTCAGGCAGGGGGCTCAAGTACCGAATAGGAAAAACAACATAAACATAAACTTTCGGAGCTCCGCGCGGATTTCTTGCATCGGCGCTTGGCCCCCTGGGGGCGGCCCCCTGGTGGCGCTTCCGGCGCCGACCCTGGCGCGCCCCGCGCGCCAGGGAAGGGGGTTTCAGCGCCGTTTCAAGACGTCCGCACAGACCTTCGAAAGTTTATGCTTACTCAGTTTTTTCTCCAAGGTGTGGAGAGGGGCGGGCAAGAGGGAGTGCCCTTGGCAGCTGCAGATTTCCCCATCTGAGGCACCCCCGGCCAGAGGCCCTCGGACTAGTGCCGCCCACATGGGATCCGAGTAGTCCGAGTAGATCGGGTCGGAGGACCGCCGTTTTTGTTTGTTTTACCTTCTGAGGTGGTACGTCGCATATCTCACAATATCTGGCTGACCTCCATGCACATGCGCAAGATGCTCGGCTACTTCACGATCGAGGAGCACCGCGCAGAATGCTTCGTGATCTTCTTCTTCCGCATCGTCGACATTTGCAACGCGAAGATATTCAGTTGCCGCTTTTCCAGGCAGGAGGAGGTCGTCGGTTAACAGACATCATTAGATTGCGTGAGCCTAAACTTTCGGATCTCCGCGCGGATGTCTCGCATCGGCGCTGGGCCCCCCCCCTTGGCTGCGCCTACAGCGCCGCCCCCGGCGCACTCCGCACGTCAGGGAGGGGGGCCCAGCGCCGATTCGAAGCGTTAAGCTTATGCAGTGTGTGCTTCCTCTAGGTTGTGAAGCTGCAGGAGCGCTTGGGCTACGTATCGTTCTTTCCTTTTCTTCAACCCGAGAACGTGAATTTCAGTTTGGATTTCGCCTATCACGACCAACGGTTGTGTGCAAATCTGCTCGTAACCCTGGCGTTCAAGGAGAAGCAAGAAAACTTGCGGAACCCACAGTTCTACAACGCGGACGGATCAGTCGATCCTGTCATCCGATCGCACGGGGTGCCAGCAGGGTGGCAGTTCTTCGACAAGATGCCCAAGCAAGGGAGATTCGTGTGTCACTACGTCTGTGCCCCAGAGGATCGCAAGTACGAGCCCCGTAGGAAGAGTGCGGAGACCTACGGCCACTACACGGTCCGCACTTCCGAGGCGGACGTGAAGTGGTGGACGGGCCTGCTGGAGGTGCCGGATGATGTGTTGAGGTTCTCGAAGAAGGGAAACGGCATCAACACAATTTCTCGGGGGTCCGCGCAGATTTCTCAGTTCAAGGAACCCGCGCGGAGTTCAGAGAAATTATGTTTGTGCAGTTGTTGCTTCTGTTGAGGCTCATGGAGTTCATCATAAATAACTATAACAATGTCGAGGAGGTCTTCACTGTAATAGACGGAGCCGACGGTAACGGCCAGATCAGTCTTCAGGAGATGACGGATGGGCTTAAGAAGATGAAGTTCCGCAAGTTCGAGGGTAAGGATGAGCGAGATCGCATCATGTCAGTGTTCCGGCATTTGGACCCAGGCGGCGAGGGTTCTATCTCTAGGAAGGAGTGGGACGTCCTCAGCCAGCTGTGGAGGGAGTTCGATCTTTCGATCAGAGAGTTCGTGCAATTTATGGTGATTGCCTTCGGTGAAGACCTTGATTCGTGCTGGGACGTCCTTGATCCAATGGACACGGGAACGCTTAACCTCGAGCAGTGGTTGGCCGCTGTGGCGGACATCGGCTTCACCGGTCCAGCTGAAATAGTGTATGCCCTCCTGGACAGCTCCGACGATGGCGAAATCTCCTACGATGAATTTTCGAAGCTATGGGACTTCATGCCCAGCAAGAAAAGCTCCGCTGACAGCGACAGCGACGAGAGTGTTGACCTCGTAACGGGAAAAAGCTCCATAAGCATGGCACTACGAGGACGCAATTCCCAGCCCATCGGCCATAAGTGACTCCGTCGGCCACTTCCTGTTCCCTGCCCCCGTCTGCAGTGGGACCTGGAGACGGCGGTGGTATTGGCAGGTGGTTTATCGCCCCAAACTCCCGACTTTTCCACGAAAAATGAAGCTGCTCAGAAAGGCAGGGAAACTCAGGGATACACGCCCTGGGGACCATTCGGACGCATCCCTATCGAGGATGGACGCCCTCCTTTGCATTTCCTCGATATGGGCCCTCATGTTGCTTTCCCTTCGAGAGCCCCACGAAGTCGGGGATAGAGGTCGACATGTCCCCTGGTAGACATTTGCACTGTAGCACTGAGTCCAGCGCGCCGCGACCCTGCCTCTCTGCACATGGGACTATCAAGGTGTGTGGTGTAGGGTTTATTTTGTGGCAGGGGGTCCGCCCATAGTTTTGCCCTGTTTCGTTCGTCAATGCAGACGCTTGTCCCGCTTCGCCGACACCATACTGGTGATGTTATTTTTATGGAATTCGTCCGCTGGCGCACTTTCGGTCGATGTCGTGCGTGCGCGAGTGATGGCAAACACCTCGCGGTCAGCTCAAGCCACCATTCGGCTCCGGCGAGCCCAGTGGGGAAGGCAGAGGGGGCCCGCCTTCTCAGAACGCGGCTGGGCTTCTCAGAAGCCCTCGCTCCTTCTGAGAAGTCTTGTAAGCCTTCCACGAAACCACAGACGGCTTCTCAGATTGCGCGAGGGCTTCTGAGAAGCCCCGCCGCCTTTGAGAAGGCCCGCCCCCTCTGTCTTCCCCCTTGGGCTCGCCGCCGAACCATGTGGCGTTTCAGTTTTCCTGGCGGCTCATCTTCTCCTGGAGCTCCCCGACCTGCTGCTCGCTGGCCATTTGGGTCAGCCACCTGCCGGTCGGGCCTTCGGGATGGCACGGAGGTGCCATAGGATCGGGAAATCGTAGAACTCGAGTTCGCCAGAATTCGGGTTAGCCGACGCTTTTTGACGGGCTGGTCCTGGGCCTTGACGGTCCAGATTTCGTGGGATGGTTGCAGCCGGAGTTCGTGTCAAAATTCAAGTTGGGTCTCGTCATTTTCCTGACGGCCCCGTCAGGCCAACCCGAGTCCCCCGAGCCCGAGTCTTACGTCTCCCCGACATAGAAGCAGTTTCTGTCACTGACCCCGGGCTGTGCTCCCATCACTAGCGCACCATGCGCGGACAGCGCCATCTCTCACGGGGGGGTCTGGCAAAATTGCTATGGGTATTTTCATGTGTCGAGGGGAGGGGGGCAGGGGCAGGAGGCAGAAGGAGGACGACGACACATAAGGACGAGGACAAGGAGAACGAAGAGGATGGAGAGCGCCAAAAGAGGACCCCCCGGCCCCTGACGAATGTTTTCAGATTCGTTGGAGACGTGATTGATGATAGCTGCATGTTTAAAATAATGATCGGTCTTCTATGGCCTTGCGGCAGGGCTCCCAGGGGACCTTCGTTGGATCTTGGGTCCTCCTCGGATTTTGTGGTCTCTGGACCGTCTTGGGGCCGTCTGGGGCCGATTCCTGGGTATGGCGTGCGTCTTGGTGTGGTTTTGAGTTGTCTCGGGCTGTCTTGAAACTTTGGGGGGCCATCTGGGCCCGTCCTAGGTCTTTGAAATTGTTGTAATCATCGTTCGCCGAAAAACAGAATGCGAAGTACGCTGAGACGTCGTTTGTGCTTCAATGTTTCGGCGACCCCATGGCCCTGCTGAGGTATCCTTTGAGACCTCTTGGGAGGGACCTTGGGGCGTCATGGTGTCTCTTGGGGCCATTTGGGGGACTCTGGAGACTATGCATCATCTTGAGCCAGTCTTGGGCAGTCGTGGAGCCATCTCGGTGCGGTCTTGGACCGTCTCAGGGCTTTCTTGAGGCGTCCTCTGGCCGTATTAGGGCCCTTCTTAGGGCCGTCTTGTGCCGTCTTCTTGGCTCATTGTGGCCATTTGTGGCCGTCTGGGGCCCCCCTGCAGCCCAGCCGATGGCGCCATATGCAGAAACACGTGGGAAGCAAAAGCGTTGAACAGCAGCAGTTGTCAATTATTTTTCATGTGAATCGCACGCTGGTGTGTATATATGTTATATTTGTACATGTTTACACACGCACGTTAGCCAGCGTGGATCCCAAGCAGTGTGTTTCTAGCAGTATGTGTGGTGCAAAGCATGAAGTTTGCTATATGATGTGCAATATATGTGGTGCGATCTATGTTGTACAACCTGTGCTGTACAATCCAAGCTGCGCGGCCTACGTTGTGTAATGCGATGTACGCAGTGCAATATATGTTGCGCAATGTCTGTGGTTTGATTTATGTTGTGCAATACGGTGCAGGTACGTGGGTCAACATATGCGGTGCGATAGATTCGGTGCGTTTTATGTCATGTTATATCTGTGGTGCGATCCATGTTGTGCAATCGATGTTGTTCAACATATGCGGTGTAATCTATGATGTGAGCAGTATATGCTGTGCGGTCTATGTTGCGCAAAGTATGTGGTGCAACCTATGTGGTGATGGACGGCGACAACATAGCCGCCAGATTGGCCCGCAGGCCCAGACGACGGGCGGCGACGGGGCGGCGACGGCGACAACATAGCCGCCAGACCAGCCAGCAGGCCCAGACGACGGACGGCGACGCGGCAGCGGCGGGGCGGCGACGGCGACAACATAGCCGCCAGACCGGTCCGTAGGACCAATTCCTTGGAAATAAGTAAGAGTTCCTAAGTGCAAGCACTGTTTGGGGAATAAGCGTGTCTATATACATGTATATGAAAGCATGTGCGTATGTACCTGCCCTTCCTTGTAGAGCAGCCCTCTCTATCGCGCAGCGTTTGTTTATTCACCACGTCTGCGTTGGACGCGCCTCAGCTTTCTCGACTTCGTTTTTGTTCCCTTTCCAGCAACTTGCGCTGTCGTGTATCAGTGTGCTTGCTTTCCGTGGGGTTGACTGCCCGCCATTTGCAGCTTTTTTCCCCCGCTAGTTTAGTGCTTACGTTTGTGATACGTAAAGTCGATTGTGCTATAGACGGCATTTAGTTCGCAACTTGGCTGCCCAGGGCAGACACTTCGACAACTTCGGCACTGACGAGGCGTGTGTGGCGATGGCAAAAATATGACAGTAAGGGCATCGGGCGAGGAATCTCCTCCATAGGGCCGACCCCGAGCGCTTCCCTCGCCCTGTCAGAAGTCCTCTCCCCCTCCCCTCTATTCTCCCTTCTCCCTCCCCTCTCCTCTCGGATAGTTCTCTCGAAGGTCAAGGTGGTCTGGCATGCCGAGTGGCGCGGTACGGCCCGGCCTTTAAGAAGCCGCCTCTGGTTTCGGAGAAGGCTGCGAACGCTTCTCAGAAGGTAGGAAGTCTTCTGCGCCTTCTGAGAAGGCTCGACCCCTCTGCCTTCCCCCCTATCGTCGCGCACGGGTGCTAATCATGCAGGTGCGACGCCAGCAAAATCCACGACAGGGCCCATCTGCAGGCTGCAATTTCTGCCGCGGTGCTGCTGTTTTTTGCTGGAAGGGCATTCTGGGGAATGGAACCAGCAAGAAGTGACTCCATGCTCCTCATCCGCTTGGCGCGCGACGCAGCACCGCGCATCCCTGCCTGGCTCATACTAGCAGTGTGAGCCACAGGGGTAGATCACATCTCTGGCTGAGAGACTCTCGGATGGGACTGCTGTGGCAAGAGCAACGGTAGCAGCAGGATGGAACGAGACATGTTGAATCACAAAAGAGAGATCAATGCCGCCAAACAGTTCCTGGAGCCCTTCAAGGAACTTGTCTGTCGGTTAGAATTTTCTGCAACGGGCAGCACAAGCGCTCGCTGGATCTCCGTCCGCTGCTGGAGAAGTGCGCTTCAGGGCCACCCTGTTTTCCAATGGTTTATGTACTTCTCTGTTGAGGTCTTCCTTCTCTGGGACGAGGGGGAAGTCTACAGGGGGAACTGGAGGCCTAAACGAGGAAAGCTCGGGTTGCTGTTTCTGGAACTGTTCAAAGGGGACACTTCTGTCAGCTCTGGGCTGGACGGTGCCCCTTCGTCCTTCCAGGCGCGTGAACTGGGCGCCAGACGGTCTAGGGAGAGTACCATGCTCCCTTTGGGGCCCTTATCTTGAGAAGCGCGCAGCCGGGTGAGACCGCTTAGTTGGGATTTGGAATCTTCTCTCCCAGTCTACCGAAACGCTAGACGCATGAAGCACCTTGGCTCGGACTGAGGCTTCTGGGTCTTTTGTCGGGCACTTGCGGATGCTGGGGGGCTGGCGGGCTGCATAGGCTTGCGGGGTAAAAGTCTTGTGGCTCAAATCGCGTACGGCATGCTGGTCTCCGACTTTTTGAATCACATGGACACGTTTTTTTTTTTTGTTTGGGCGGGCTCTCTCCAGGCGCGGCCACTGGCTGGCAAGAGCTCCTTCCGCGTGTTCATAGGCTGGGCTTGGGAGAGCGGTTCGATGTAAGGCGTCTCTGGCATTCCCCGCCAGTGCGTCGAAGTCAGTGTTCCAGGCGCAGGTACTTGCGCCGCGTGATGAAGTGCTGCTTCTGCTGCTGGTCCGGCTGCATCTCGACTCGGTGGTTCTGGCATTTTGGCATGCGGTCTTGATTCGGGAAAAATTGTCGGGCTTGTTGCGATCGCATTGTGGACTGCTGCCGGTGCCCGGCTCCAAATCGGATATGTTGTCCATTGTCTTTCGGAGACACCCAGCCGCACATACATTGAGCAATCGTCGTTTCTATAGTTGGTTGCTGCTCTTTAATGGCGTTCATGGACTGCTGCTTTTGGAACGCATGTTGCAAGTGAGTATCTTGCAGGGGTCACGCTGCTGAGGTCGGCGTCTGAGGCGCAAAGGACAACGGCGATGGCAACATATTTCCATGCTGGACTGCGGCTGTTACTGGCATTTGCGCAAACTGACTGGCGGCGGGAAATCCTCCGAAAGGTATTGGCGATGTTGCTGCCGCTCCTGTGCTACCGATGCCGTTCTCTGCTGCGCGCTGACGTCCATCATGCTTTCCTGATCTGCGATAGTTTCCCCGATGAACGCAATGAGCTCGTTCATCGCATCGACTTCGTTGTCTAAATCGCTCTGCTGCTGGGTGAGTTCGTTCTGCTTCTTCCTGATCGCGATGAGCCTGTCTTCGATTCGAGTGTTCCCGCTGCGAGCGTTCTGGAGCTGCTGGCTGAGTGGTTTCAACTTCGAAGCCGCATGCATGATCATGCCAGTCTTTTGGCGATAGTTCTGATGGTCCTGTCCTGACTGCCCGGCTGCGTAGGCCACCATCGCAAGGGCACTGAGCCTCTCGAAGGCCTCCTTTCTGAACTTGCCGATTTCGATGGGAACCTCCGAGGTCGGCGGTGTTCATTCTGGGTGCGCTTCTGCTTTTGAGGGCGTTGCCATCAGTATCTTTGCCAGCACCTTTTGCACTGGAGCAGTCCATCTCGTAGAGCTTCTCGTTGTGGTCCTCGATGAGTCTCGAGGCGCTCGCTCTTCTTTTCGGGGTAGGTTTCCTTGGCGCGCTTGCTGTCCTCCTGGGGATCCGCTCTCTGGAGTCCGTGCCATATCGTTGTGTTGCGGCCTTGCAATACCCATTTTCCTGTCCTTTGCCTGTCGAAGAGTCTACACAATGTGGACGCCTGTCTTGTCCACAAAAGACACCATCTGTGATGCGCTGTGACATGGCGGTCGCAACTCTCTCACTGCTACGTGCTCACGTCTGATGGACAAAGGCTTAAGGGCAAGAAAAGTGATGGCTGCAGTGAAACACAGTCCCCGACAGAGGTGTTCTGCGTCTAGGCGCCTCCTTGATTGTTGTCGCATGCAGTGGAATTCTAAGGTTGAAACCCCCACGATTTGGAGTTTCAGCCTTGAGCCAAAGTGGCTACGGACTCCCCCTCCTCCCCCTCCTCCTCCACCATCCCTTTTCCTCGTAAGTATCTTCTCCCTGTCGCTCCCCCAGATGTGTCTGTAGAGCAGGCCAGGCATTTCGCCCGAGACTTCCAACCGTTCATGATCTTGAAGCTTGAGCTTGCAACAGGTTCACGGATGGAAGGCGTTCCGTTTTCACAGTGTTTCTTTCGCTTTGGTGCCGCGCAGATTCGTTTCAAACGGGTGCAGCAGTGTCAGGGATGGAGGGCGCGCCGTTTTCAAAATGTGGTTCTCGCCTCAGCGCCGCGTTTCTTCTATGTATCTAATATCACGGGCGTCCAGAGCCCTGGGGTCCGGGGTCCGTTCACTTTTTCAGAGTCCCAGAAGCTTTTTCGGCCACCCGAGGCGTCCTCCATGGCTTCCGGGGACGGCAAGAAGCCGCCAAGACGGCCCAAGAGCGCTCCAAGCCGCCCAAGATGGCCCCATGATGGCCCAAGAAACCCCCAAGAGGCCTCAAGGGCGCTCCGAGATGACTTCCAAGAGGGCCCCAAGAGCCCCAAACCATCAAACTTCAATATGTTTTTCAGTGCTTTGAGCGTTCTCGCGTTTTCGGCTGCCGACATTCCAAGACTGTCCAAGAAGTTTCTAGCATCGCCCCAGGAGGCCTTCAAGAGGCCCCCAAGACGGCCCAATAGGGCCCCAAAACGGCCCAAGAGGCGCCCAAGACAGCCCAAGAGGGCCTGAAGACGGCCTCAAGAGGGGCCCAAGAGGGGGAACACGAACCGACAATTCGAGCCTTCCGCCCCAAGAGGTCCACAAGTGGCCCCAAAAGGCCCCCAAGAGGCCCACAAGAAGCCCCCAAGAGGCCCGAACAAGGCGCCAAGAGGCCCCCAAACGCCGCCTCGGAGGCTTCACAACTGTTTCCAAAGACCGCCCGAGAGGCCTCCCACGATATCCCAACGAACATCCAAGAGGCCTCTAACCTACAACCCAGGCACGGTGGCGGGATGGGCCGAAGGCACCACGAGTCAAACACATTGATTCCGCATACGTTGTTTTTCAAACAGTTCTACTCCAGGTTGTACGGGGTAATTGGTTCATTGCCGGGGCGCCCGGAAAACTTTCGGCGAGGTGCAGTTGACGGCGTGCAATTCTTGGGGAAACGTTTCTTGCGATCCATGGGGATTCTGGTGGACACGTTCATTCACGTTTCTGGCAACCACTACCCCCAAGTACTGTTCAGACGACGCGATCCGTCTCGCTCCACGGAGATGTCCGCTCCACTCCGCTCCTCCGCAGCTAATTTAAAGATTCATGCATATCTGCACCACAACGGCCCTCGATTGGCCCAAGTGTGTCCCACACTGTCCAAAGATGTGGCCAAGACGGTACATGAGCAGCCGACGGGCACTCCTTGATGGTTTCATGTGGCTTCGAGGTGGAGATTTTGGAGCAATATTGGACGATTTGGGTGGCACTTTTGGGCATTTGTGGACCTTTTTGGAGCCTTTCTCTCTCACATACAGCAGGGCAGGGCCAAGCCAGCTTGGGCGATATGTTCGGTCATTGTGAGGGTTCTAGGGCAATTGCGGGGCCATTCACGGGTAACCCCCCACTTGACAAATCCATGACGTGTGTGTGTGTGTGTGTGTGTGGGTGGGTGTGTGTGTGTGTGTGTGTTTGTGTGTGTCCAGGACCCTGGGACCGGTATGAGAGCACGACAGGACGGCGCTCGTCCAGAGACACCAGCGACAGGGAGTGGGCCAGAGAGCGCGACCGCGAGCGAGACCGCGATCGTGACAGGAGCGGAGGTGGGGGCTCCTCGCACCGATACGACGATCACCGCCACCCTGAGCACAGCAGAGACGATCGCCGCCGCCCTGACCACAGCCGTCCCTGGGAAGAGCGCCGCGTCAGCTGGCCGAGGCGCCCGGACGAGACGGCGACCACCCACCTGAAAAGGTTGAAGGGCGAGGGAGGCTTCTGCTTCGCCGCAGCCTGGCACTCCTGGTGTAGGCACGTGGGCCACGACAAGGGCAAGAGCAAAGACACGGTCAAGATTGACCCATCCTGCTGGCAGCCCAGCATGATCGACCGCTTCCTGGACGACATGGCACGCAGCCGCCACGATGTGTGTACCTGCTCCTCGACTGTGGGCGTCTACATCGACTGGGACCGCGTGAACGCCCTGTTCCAGGACTTCCAGCGGAAGCGGGAGGTGGCCAAAGGCGAGGGGCACGGGGACGGACCGTCCCGCAGCTCCTGGTCCGCGGACAACTGGACCAGAATGCAGCGCCCCACGCGCTGACTTGTCTCGAACGTTCCTGACTGATCTCGCGGCCTAGGGCGCCCTGCCCTGACCGCCCCTCCTGTCCCTGGCAAGGTCTCTTGGCGTTCTTCGGGTACGACCTGTTCATCGCCATCTACAACGCCTGGCCCTGTCTCCCCTCCTCCTTCCCTCGTTCACACCTGATATAAGGACGGTCCTGATTCCGCAGGTTCCACCTGCCTTCGGTGGCTGGTGGGGCCGCCCGGGTGCCGGCGCGGGGTTTCCGCGGCGCTGGCAGGCCAGCCTGGTTGGCCTCTCTCCTCCCTGTCCGTTCCTCCCTTCCCCCGCCCGCAACCCCCCCCTCCCGCCGCCATGGCGGCCGCGCCCGGCACAGCGCGGCTTCGGCCCGGTGCCCCGCGCTCGTTTTCCTGCACCTGCTCCCGCACACCGGCACCCTGCCGGTCGTCGCAGACGGCGAGTTCGGCACGTCCTGACTGCCGCGCCTCTTGGCTCTGCGGTACTCGTCTCCTGGACCTGTGGCACCATGAACCACTACGGCCCGAACTCCCTCCTGATACCTGGACGGCGGCACAACGTCGCGTTTCGTTTCGTATCGTCCTCTCGTTTTCCTTGATTCCTGATGCAGCTTGGTTGAATGGCGCGTCATGTCCCGCCACTGACCCGAGGCTGGTGTTGAACAAACGTTGGCGACAATAACGCCTACGGTAGCATGTTGCTCTTCTCCGGTACTTCGCCACCGGGCTCCTGCCGAAGGCGTCCCTTTGCACGAACTTCGGCTGCGGCACCGCCTGTATCCGAGGCTACGCCTCTTTTCGGCCTCGCTTTGAGGCTCCGCCGCTTCCTCCCTCCTCTTCTCTGCCTAATTCAAGCTTCGCGCGGCCCGCTTAGTTTCGATCGGAAGAGGTGCGCTCTCGACCCGCGGATCCAAAAAGTGTGTGTGTGTGTGTTTGTGCGTGTGTGTGTGTGCGTGTGTGTGTGTGTGTGTGTGTGTGTGTGTGTGTGTGTGTGCGTGCGTGTGTGTGTGTGTGTGTGTGTGCGTGCGTGCGTGTGTGTGTGTGTGTGTGTGTGTGTGTGTGTGTGCGAGTGTGTGTGTGTGTGTGTGTGCGTGCGTGCGTGCGTGCGTGCGTGCGTGCGTGCGTGCGTGCGTGCGTGCGTGTGTGTCTGTGTGTATATCTCACAGTGGATCGCAGGAGTTCTGCGGCAGGGCTGTGTCAATGCCGCGGCACAGGACTTCCTTTTGTTCAGAACTTACCATGGCGGTGTCGAAGTAACAACCCCTCCGCACCTGCGTGGGCGGGGCGGCGATTAGTTGTTACGGACTCGGTGCAGGAACGGACGTTTAGGAAATCCAGTGGTATATCGACGGCAGTTGGTCCACCCCAGGGGGCGCAACAAACTAGAACCAAAGCGTGCGTGCACTGTTGGGGGGCCGGATTTGTCCGCCCCTGGGTGGCGGTGCAAACTAGAAGCAAAGCGTGTGCGGTTTTGATTTGTGGTGTGGCGTCTGTCCCAGCTACGTGGCCGATAACGCTGGGGATTGAGGTGTCGATGCTACCCCCTCTGACTTCTGAACTGCCTGTCTGCTGCCATTTTGGCCTCAAGGCGTTGTGTGTCCCAGGGCCATGTTGCCCAGCCTGGCCCGCCATTGCAAAGTCAATACTGTTATTGGCAGTTTGTGGGCGCCTGGCACTCTTGGAACAGTCTTGGGGCCGTTCTTCTTGGGCTCCCTTTGAGGCCATCTTCGGGCCAACTTTCACGCAATCTCAGACCATCCTGGAACGGCCTGGGCCCCTCTTTCAGCCATCTGGGGCCGCCACTTGGCATCCTGTTCAAGCCCTCGTGGGGCCGCGGGGCTTTTCTGAGGTCCCTTGTTGGGGCCTCTTCGGTCCCTCTCGGAGCACCTCTTGGGGCAATTTTGGCGCTACTCTTGGAGCTCTTCCTGAGCCCTCTTCGGCCTTCTTCTGAAGCCTCCCCAGGGCACTTCTTGCGGCACCGTCGGGCCTTCGCTTCGCGGCCCTTTTCGGAACCTGTTCGGTTTTCTGAGGGCACTTCTGGGACTCTCTTGAGGCCACTTTGGGACAATATTCGAGCCCTCTTAGAACGCTTGTTGGGGCCCTCCTGTGTTACGTCATGGGGCTTCTTGGGGCCCTCTTCAAGCCTCTCTTGGGGCCCCTCTCGGGGCGCTTTTGGGATCCCCTTGGACTGGTCTTTGGGCGTCATTGGGATCGTCGTAGAGCGCCTTGTCAGGAATCGTTTCTGCTCGGCACCCGTTCTTAATACTTCTTCACCCAATGTTCGAACCATTTGTGGGTAACTGCGGACGTTGAATGTGTGCGCACGCACTTGCGCGTCTGTGGCACTGTCCAGGGCTGGAGCTTGCTAGAAACTAAGCGCGCGAAGCGCGCGCGTGGTTCTACAGGACGGCCTCTCGAGGGGCCCAAGAAGGGGAACACGAACCGACAATTCGAGCCTTTCGCCCCAAGAGGCCCCCAGGATGCTCCGTAGCCATTTTGGCTCAAGCCATTTTGGCTCAAGTTTGGCGCAAGCACGTCATTCTTTGAGTCATCCGCGTATGCGGCAGCCCAAGATTTAGGTGCCTCTGCTTTATTGCGGCGTTATGCCTACGCATCGGCTGCAAGCATTAAGTACGATCAGCATCTTTTATTATATGTATCACGACGGACTGGTTATGGGTGCAGAAAATACTAAGGCGAAAGAGAATGGCGCAACTGTCGTAATTCACGTTGGACCCCCCAAGACTGGTACGAAAACAGTTCAACAAGAGTTGTGCGACCGGGCGTCCCTGCTGGAAAAAAGGTTGGACGTTCCTGCGCACTAAGCAATTCGGAAGTTTAGCTAAAGGCTCGCAGGGAAAGATTCAAGTCGTCAACGTAGCTGCGTTCTATGACGAGATGTTTTTGCCTTTTGTTGTAAATCAAACCCAAACTTGTTTGGATTGGCTAGAGTACATTGACAAGCTCAGCGGTACCTCCCATCACGTGGTGATGTCTAGTGAGGCTTTCGCCCGTCGGACACTCCAGATCGCGCAGCTCGCCTCTGATTTAAGGCACGTCGCTACTAAAATCGTCGTGGTTTATCGACCTTTCTACGAATGGATCGCAAGCGTCTACCGGCAGAATAATGCAAGAAGAGGCATTTCAAAAGCGGGTTTCGCTTCTTGGTTGGCCGATTCAGTAATGGAGGAGTACGCAGCAAGTTTTTCTTCGACGTCAGTGTACAGTAAATACTTACCCGTTACGAAAGTTATTCATCTTGAGCACTGACGACTAGGGCGTCTCCGGGTGGCCCCCCCTTCCCCCCGTAGACTCCTAGCACGGCAGTCTTCAGCATGGCTAGGCGGGAGAGATTTCCGGGGTTCTTCCTGGTAGCATTAATAGTATATAGCCAATTCAGGATAAAGTCTCTCCCCCGTAAATTCACAAGGGCGAAATCTCTCCCGGTCACTTCCAGGCAACTCTGGATCTCTCCCCGTATGAAACCACAAGGAAGAATCACTCCCATACCACTTCTCACCACAGCGCCCACACATGTCAATTTTAGCCAAGATGAATTAACTTTCGTAACGGGGATGAGGACCCACGACTTTTTCACACGTCGATGTCAGCCAATGTCATGAGGAACCCAAATTCGAAATCCGAACGGGGCCCAGCATCGCGCTCGATAGACACGTCGCCATCATCGTGCAAGCGCGCTGTGGTGGCCAAAGGCGCTGCTGTCAAGGGGTAGCGCTGGTCTCACCCTTGTAGAAGTGCAATGTAAGATACTGCTGAGGACCCACGACTCTTTCACACGTCAATGTCAGCCAATGTCATGAGGAGCCCAAATTCGAAATCCGAACGAGGCCCAGCATCGCGCTCGATTGACACGTCGCCATCATCGTGCAAGCGCGCTGTGGCGGCCAAAGGCGCTGCTGTCAAGGGGTAGCGCTGGTCTCACCCTTGTAGAAGTGAAATGTAAGATACCGCTTACCCGTGACGAAAGTGATTCATCTTGAGCATTGACGACTAGGGCGTCTCCGGGTGGCCCCCCCCTTCCCCCCGTAGACTCCTAGCACGGCAGTCTTCAGCATGGCTTGGCGGGAGAGATTTCCGGGGTTCTTCCTGGTAGCATTAACAGTATATAGCCAATTCAGGATAACATCTCTCCCCCGTAAATTCACAAGGGCGAAATCTCTCCCGGTCACTTCCAGGCAACTCTGAATCTCTCCCCGTATGAAACCACAAGGAAGAATCACTCCCATACCACTTCTCACCACAGCGCCCACACATGTCAATTTTAGCCAAGATGAATTAACTTTCGTAACGGGGATGTACGCGGCCCATTTTTCTGACGTAGTGATGCACAGCTTGAACTCCTCTCTTTTGACAAAGACTGCGTGCGATGACCTTGGAGCTCCGATGGCTTGTGCTTGGTTCCGGAGATCAGAGATGATACACAAAAGCGTCAAACCCAGAGAAGATGCAACAGGTGAATGTCTCAGCCCTGCACAGCGGCAAACAATGGAAACTATATCAATTGATCTTCATCGGAAGGCCTTTGGCATCTTGGCACCTTTTTCCGGCTTCCGATTTCCATGACCAGCTTTCCGAATGTTTCGGCAACCGTCGAGCTAAAGCTTGGAGAGTCACGCCAGCAAAAGCCCAATGCAAAACCGAAACCGAGAGGATCCAGCACGCTAGGCACCTCTGCGATGAACTTCCTTGTCCTTGCCTTAGATGCTGTGGGCACTTCGTCGGAGGGTAGGCCCGCATCAGCCAGACCACTGCTGCTGTTGCACCTCGCCTTGCCTTTGCGTAAAAAAAGGCCCCCAGGATGCTCCAAGAGACCCAAAAGAGGCCCCCAATAGGCCCCAAGAGGCTCCAAAACGGCCCCCCGGAGGCTTCAAAACTGTTTCCAAAAGGCCCCCGAGAGGCCTTGCAAGATGTCCCAACGAACTTCCAAGAGGCCTCTAACCCACAACTCAGGAACGGTGGCGGCATGCGCCGAAGGCACCAAGAGGCAACAAGTATTGATTTCAAATACGGTTTTTCAGCGAAGTTCGTGTTCTCGCCCTTTTACGTTTCCAATTTTCTCAGGCAGCCCTGGAGCCCCCCAAAACCTTCCAAGACGGCCCATGAGG